AGTGGACTTCTCTTATGAAGTCTGCTGCGAGGAGCTTCTCGACTTCCTCGTCGATCACTTTCCACCGTTCCGGGGCTAGGTTGCGTTTCTTCTGTCTAACGGGCCTAACTACAGGATCAGTGTTCAGCTTGTGAGTTATGAGTTCGGGGTCTATACTGGGCATCTCTGCCGCGGACCATGCAAAAATATCTAAATTTTGAAGTAAAAAGCTTACCAATTCGGATCGTAGGGGCTCCTGGACGGAAGCGCCGATCTGAAGCGTCCGAGCTGGGTTTGCTGTTGAGGTCGGGACCGCGACTGTTTCTTCCGTGGGCGCGGCTTGCTCTTCGCCTTGCTCCGTGGGTCGTTCCAGTTCGAGGTCATCGACCACCTTTGTTTTCCCCTTCAGGGCGGCAACGTAGCACTTACGAGACTCGAGCTGGTCGCCCCGCGCTACTCCCACACCGAAGTCTGTTGGGAACTTCATAGCCAAGTGGTAAGTGGAGACACCGCCCGTAGGACATGGGTGATTGGTTGACCTATTATGGCATTGTAGGGGGAGGGGGTCGCTACCACCAGAAAGTTATGTTCGAATCTGACCACACAAGGCCATGTGCCGATCTCTACAGGTACTGTTACTTTCCCAAGGGGGCGGACTTCCTCTCCACTGAAGCCCACTAAAGAGGTGTCCGTAGGCCTCAGGTCGCTTCTCTGCAACTGAAGTTGGTCGAACGCAGCTTTGAAAAGGATGTCGGCTGAGCTGTCTGAGTCCACGAGTACGTGCCTGACCTCGAAGTTGTTGATTCTTAGCTTTATTACGAGTGCATCATCATGGGGGTAGTGGACCCCTCGCGCATCGTCTTCTGTGAAAAAAATTGGGTCTCCCGTCTTCGGCCCCTTTGAGGGGTTCCGCCCTTCCCGGGTGGCCTCACGAACTGACGTCCGAGCTGCTGCTGAAGTGCAACCCGCAACGATCGAACCTCCCACTATCATGTGGATTGTCCCCCGAACTGGCCTCTCCTCTGGAGGCTGCCTCTGCGGTTGTTCGGCTGGCCTGTTGCTGGACTCGGGAGCATCTTTACCATGCTCCCCTTGCCGACCTGTTCTATTAATATTGTTATTATTATTATTTTGTACAAAGTTTCTCAAATATCCGCGATGGATGAGCTCCTCTATCTCGTCGCGGAGATTTTACAGCTCTCGGTACTGTGACCGTGGTCTTTGTGAAAACTGCAATACAGACTTATTTCTTTCATTGGGATTCCCCCTCAAACGGGGTGGCCACTTCACGTACGGGGCGTCCTTGATCGCCATCAGGATTTCGGCCCGCTTCGCGTTCAGTGGGGTGTAATCAGCTCGGTCCAGTATAGGAGCTCGGAACAATTGACTCGGCTTTACCCCCCGGATTGTTTCCTTTTTTCTTCGGCTGTCCCCTTGACTGGAAGGCTCTCCTTCTCTCTTTCTTTTTTCGGGTGCGCCCTCGCCCTTCTGGTTGATCTCCTCTTCGGT